TCCACACGGCCGCCGTGCGTATAGCCATATTGAATCTTATCCACACGGCCGCCGTGCGTATAGTCACTTCCAAATTAAATAGTCTAAAATTAAAATAGTAATACTAATCGACGAGAGAAATTTATTACAACCATTTGAATTTCATCTCTTTCGGCTGACCTTATCTGGTACTTCTTTAGAAACTCCACGTTTCACCCACGCTACACAAGGAACAAAATTCATAATGGTAAAATACTAAAATTGAAGAGGAAGCTAGAAAGGCATGAGATGTGAGGCCATTTTAATTGCTACGCACGCCATCTACCAACCTCTACAATAACTAACGCAAACCATATATACCTTTGGTTATGGCTACTGCTTATAGTTATAATATTATGGTCTACCACTGAGCTCTATAATTAAACATTTTATTTATAGTTTATTTATAGAGCTCAGTGGGTTATACATATGGCCGGAAGCTTCCAGATCTGATACAAATGCATATATATACAATTTTATATTGCGACGGATTATTTGCTAGCTGATCGATTTATACCACATTTATGCTATGATATCTGCAGTAAATAATCACAAATCATACATTTGTAATTATTTAATCCTGATGATATCAGGAGTCTATCAATATATTGATAGACTCCTGATGATATCGGAGGGAACCCCCCCCCCCTTCGCCTTCGATACGTTTCGATACGACACAAAGATGGCGGCGTCCATGAAAGCGTTGCTTTTTAGAAATGTTCTGAGAAAATATAAAACGCTAAACTGTTGTCAATGTAAACAGTTAATACGATTGCTGAATACAAATGTTAAAATTAAGGTTCGTATCTGAGTAGTACTAGTAGTAGCAATAGGCATGCAGGATCGCAACAGACGACCATTAATTCATATGATAGATGAATATGAATCTGAATCTTATATAAGTTATATCATGCATCTAGTATGACTATGACTATGACTATGAGTATGAGTATGACTGAGTATGAGTCTCGTGACTCGTGGAGTCGTGGAGGGTCATAGCGGTACAAAACGACAAAGTTCAAGGTGCAACTACCTTAACACACATTGCCATTGGCAGTGCTACCTAACCTGCTGAGTAACCTGGCCCTAGGCAGCACTGGCAATTTGCGTTACGGTAGTTGCACCTTCTCTATATTTAAACACGTGACATTGTGACTGTCATTGACGCTTCCAGGGTCTATGTCTCCCTAACTAGTTACTTCCCCTACTTAAGATCGGGAATATGATGCCCTATCGGTAAATATTGGTAAATTTTCATGCAAAATATCGGGAATTTCTGTAAATTCTCAGACTGATCATCACATATAGAAGCTGAAAGATCATTAATAGACCATTTACTCCATTTTTTTCCACTGGCCCATCGGGCTTGTTCATTTACCAGTTTCATGGGCCCCATGGAAAATTTACTGGCCTCGGATACCGAGCCGTGGTTAATTTCGCAGACTGTTAAGGGTTAGGGTTAGGGTTAGGGATAGGGTTAGGGAGTAGGTGTAGGCGACTCCCTAGACTCGTTAGTGGAGTAGGCCACAGGCACTTGGAACGTCTCAATAAAAATACAAAAGTCATTTTTAATGGTAAATAAACACGAAATGTATTTACTACCAAAGTCTTAATGTTTCTCGACTCTATTTCACCTATTGTTGCCGATAATTACCCGTAAATGCCGGTCAAATGCTCATCTGCAACACACAAGTACACCGCACGCCTGCCCTGTGCACAAACAACATGAATAAGAGAGCAGGTAGGAAAGCGTGATCCTAAATTCGCTCGACGCTCGCTTCATTTTACACCTTCACAGCACGAATACACATCCAACAGCTTCCATCTTGGTATCTATGTGTAGCTAAATGTTCACTTGTTCGAATTATAACTCTGTCATTTGTTCTTACCTACTCCCGCCAGAGATATCTCGTGAAATCCTGCAGGAAATGTTTTCTCCGTGAAAATGTAAAGAGGACGAGATGTCTGTTTATACACGAGTAATGGGGCGCATTGCATGCCGGGAGGAGCTGCTGCCTGCCTCCAAGCCTCCGTTTCGAGGCCCACCAAGCCAAGCATAATGCGCGCGGGCATGACGTCACACACACGACTACAGTGATCGATCAAAAGTAGCGCCGTTAGGGATTTTCGGATGATACGTCCTCTTTACATTTTCACGGTGAGAACATTTTCTGCAGGATTTCACGAGATATTTCTGGCGGGAGTAGGTAAGAACAAAGGACAGAGTTATAATTCGAACAAGTAAACATTTAGCTACAGATAGATACCAAGATGGAGGCTGTTTGTTGTGTTTCTGTTCTGTAATCGTGTGAAATGAAGCGAACGTCGAGCGAATTTTGCGATCACGCTTTCCTACCTGCTCTCTTATTCATGTTCATGTTGTTTGTGCACAGGACAGGCGTGCGGTGTACTTGTGTGTTGCAGATGAGCATTTGACCGGTATTTACGGGAGAAGCTGGTGGAGAAGGAGGATGCGGAGAGAAGCATGTGCAGAGAAGGAGGAACGGGAGGGTGAGAAGGGAAGCTGGTGGAGGATAGGCGGCAGAAGGCCCGAGAAAGCTGTGGAGAAAGGAGGAAAGGGAGAAGGAGGGGGCAGAAGGTGGTAGAGAAGGAGGAGAAGCGAGAAGCTGGTCGGAGCAAGCGGGAAGCTTACGACCAGCTTCTCCCCTCCTCCTCCACCAGCCTTCTCCCTTCGTCCCCCTCCTCACTCCACCAGCTCCCTTCTCTCCTCCTTTCTCCCCTTCCTCCTTGCTCCACCAGCTCTCCCCCTCCTCGCCAGCCACCAGCTTCTCCCATCCTCCTTCTCACCACCTTCTCTCTTCTCCCCTTTCCTCCTTCTTCCACCAGCTTCTCCCCTCCTCCCAACCTTCTCCCTTCTCCCCCATTCCCCTCCTCCACCAGCCTCCCTTCTCCCCTTCCTCCTCCACCAGCTTCCCCCCTCCTCCTTCTCACCAGCTTCTCCCATCCTTACCTTCTCACCACCTTCTGCTCTTCTCCCCTTTCCTCCTTCTCCACCAGCTTCTCCCCCTCCTCCTCCACCAGCTCCCTTCTCCCCTTCTCGCCTTCTCCCCTCCTCCTCCACCAGCCTCCCTCTCTCCCCTCTTCTGCTCCACCAGCTTCTCCCCCTCCTCCACCACCTTCTCCCTTCTCCCCTCCTCCTTCTCCACCAGCTTCTCCCATCCTCCTTCCTCCCACCACCTTCTTCCTACTCCCCTTCCTCCTTCTCACCATGCTTCTCCATTTCTCCTTCTCCACCACCTTCTCCCTTTGCTCCCCTTTCCCCCTCCCCTTCCCTCCTTCTCCACCAGCTTCTCCCGTTCTCCGCCCTTCGATCCTCAGTTCCTAGCCATATTTGAGTCGGCATACGGTCCGCCGTGCGATATAGCCATACTTGAATCTATCCACACGGCCGCCGTGCGTATAGCCATGATTGAGTCCCGCCACACGCCGCCGTGCCGTATAGCCATAATTTGAATCTTATCCACACGCCGCCCGTTGCGTTAGTCACTTCCAAATTAAATATCGTCTAAATTAAAAATCAGTAATACCTTAATCGACGACGAGAAATTTATTACAACCATTTGAATTTCAGTCTCTTTGCGGCTGACGCTTAATCTGCTCGTACTTCTTTAGAAACTCCATCGTCTTCACCCACGCTACACAAAGCGAACAAAATTCATAATGTGCTAAAAATACTAAAATTGAAGAGCGAAGCTAGAAAGGCATGACGCATGTGAGGCCATTTAAATGGCTACGCCACGCCACTCTACCAACCTCTACAATAACTAACGCAAACCCATATATACTCTTGGTTATGGCTACTGCTTAATGTTATAATCATTATCGGTCTACCACTGAGCTCGTATAATTCAAAACATTTTATTTATAAGTTATTTTATAGCGAGCTCAGTGGTTATACATATGGCCGGAAGCTTCCAATCTGTATACTAAATGCGATATATATACAATTTATATTGCGACGGATTATTTGCTAGCTGATCATTTATTACCACATTTATGCTATGTTATCTGCATGTAAATTATATCACAAATCATACATTTGCTAATTATTAATCCTGATGAGTATCAGGAGCTCTATCAATATATTGATTAGACTTCCTGATGATATGCGAGGGAAGCCCCCCCTTCGCCTATCGATAGCGTTTCGATACGACACAAGATGGCGGGCGTCACATGAAGAACCGTGCTTTGTAGAAAGTTCGTTCTGAAAAATAAAACGCTAAACTGTGTGTCAATATGTAAACATTAATACGCATTGCTTGAAACAATGTAAAATTAAGGTTCGTATCTGAGTTAGCTACTAAGTAGTTATCAATACGCATGCAGCGATCGCCCAACAGACGACATTAATTCATCATGATAGATGAAATATGAATCTGAATCGTAGTTATATCATGCATCTATTGACTCAGACTTGGACTTATGCAGTGATTGAGTGATGACTGAAGTATGAGTCTCGTGCGACTCGTGGGAGTCGGTTGGGGGGTCATAGCGGTACAAAACGACAAAGGTTCACAGGCTGCAACTACCTATACACACCACATTGCCATTGGCAGTCGCTACCTAACCTGTGCAGTAACCTGGCCCTAGCAGCACTGGCAATTTCGCGTTACAGTAGTTGCCACCTTCTCTATATTAAACACGTGACATTGGTGACTGTTATTGAGACCGCTTCCAGGGGTTCTTATGTCCCCTGACGGTACTTGCCGGAACTACTCTCTGTACTATTTATATGCCGGCCGATGTACCTCGCCTACTCCCCTAACGAGTCTAGGGCAGTCACATACGCCTATACTCCCTACCCTCGAACCCGTAGACCACTATCAGATAGTTACCAGGGTACGTTCCGGCAGTACCCAGGGAGACATAGACCCTATCAGCGTCATTGACAGTGATGACTGTCACATGCCTAGCAAATAATAACTAAATATCATCATGTCTTTTGTAGTTTGCCCTGAAATAAATTCAAATTGATAGAGTTCGCTTCAAAGATATTGTCAAGTAATGTATCAATACTCAATAGACCCTTAATTTCAACTACTTGCTATACAAAAACGTAGGTATAGTGTACCTTTGTAGTTTCCAAACACCACCACAGCTATACCAGTGGCATCACAGGTAAAACTAATACTAATAGCACAAGTGATCCAGTCGGTAATAAACCTCTGGCTTGCTCGCATGTAACTGCATGATATGCGCTGTTTATATTAATTACCTCCGCCAAGGAGGTTATGTTTTCGCCCCTGTTAGTTTGTTGGTTTGTCTGCAGCAGGTTATCTCAAAAAGTTTACCCAGAAAACAGGGAATTCTTTTCGGATTGAGAATTTTGTTAGGACAGGTTGGTTTGGGCCAAGAACAAAATAATCGATTTCAGATTTTCCCCGATGGTGGTCATCCGGATCCAGATCTGGATCTAGGAATACGACAATGACATGGGGCATGTATCATCAATTGCATGCCTATAGAAT